ACACCTTGAGTAGGAGCGAGCGTCGATGTGTGTCGGAAGCTACTCGACCGCAAGCGAACAGTGGCTTCGACGAGCTTCATCACCGCTCAGGATTAGAAGTGGATTTCTTATGAAAATCCACACAGGAAGTTGCAGTGGCTACCTATCGACATAAGGCCAGAAGCTGTTGCAAAGCGTGGGGCACACGTCAAAAAGGGAATGACCTCGTTCTTCTTCTGCTCCGCCGGCTGTTTCTACTGTGAGATCCTTCCTGAGGGTACTGCTGTGACTGAAAAAAGGATGATATTGTCCTAGGATTCGATGCTTATTCTAGAAGCGTTATCGACTTCTTGTAGAAGGGTTGAACTTGGAACCAGGCTAGGTTTATATGAACACGCCACACCGATTCTATCAAGAATCGAAGGGATATCGGAATATAAGGTGAACGACAAATTCGGAATGAAAGACCAGCCATTGCATCGAGTATCAAAGCTATTGTATTGAGCAAAAAAAGTGCGGGCTGTAGTTCAGAAACTTCGTTCACTTACCTGAACACAGTGTTGGTTGCTATCAGCATTATGTGGTTCACCCAACGCCCAGTTGGTGTAGTCGACATTCGTTCCGTCCGTCCACGTCCACGGTGCGCTTGAGAAAATACCATTCTGTCGTAGACCAATCCACGTCAAAAGGTTCGTATTTCCATCATACGGTTCGCCAGTTCTCGTCAAGCCTGAAAGCAATGAAGCATAGATTGTTTGAAGAATAAAGTTTATTCCGAGGAGTTTGGTACTAATCAGTATAGTTGTGGAATGCGCCCAAAGGGTCGAGCTCCATTCGGAGTACCGGCACCGTTCGACTGCATAGTGGTACTAAGGAATGAGTTGTGGGTGTAAAACTAGTGTTTTTACCGTCACATATAAATTTGGTTGATCTACGAATCTCCTTCACTGAGTTCTCTCTCACTAAAGGATCCCCAGCCGGTTAGTGACGAGGCTACGTAGGGCATCCTAGGTGGCGGATAGGGGAGTTAATCGCCGACCAAAAGTCACCGGTACTTGCCCAGAGACGCAGGTGGATTCAGAAGATGG